TCCATATTTATAGTTGTTTGTTTAATACAGAAGTGTAATGTGAATGGGGTTGCATGAGTTGATAATGCAAGTGTGTTCCCCTTGATGCCTGTGTCGTGTCATACGGTGGGTCATCCGGCTTTCTCGCCCATTCCTGTAGATGGGACTGTGTACTGTGCAAATACGCATCGTCGTCTATGGTGTGTGATTTCCTGTTTTCCCGATTTGTCTTTTCCTTCTGACTGCGCTAAAAGATCCATATAGTATGTCAGCTGTCCATGCCCATCCGGTTATACACAGTCACGGTTGTCACACACACACACACATACATACAAGCGTGCGCGCGCCTTTGGACGAACAACTTTGTCTTCGTTTTTTCCTTCGTCCCTTTGCACTCCTAGGCGTGTTTCCGATACAGATGATGTTCTCTGAATGAAATTGGGACGTTATCCTCATACACCACCACCTAGTCATTCCGCTGAAGGTTTGTTCCCAATTCCATCTCGATCGGTTTGATGTACTTGTTCTATCTTTGTGTCACTGAGATATCTTAGTCTATGCACATAAGCGCGCGTACACAGACAAACAAAGATGAACTTAGTAATAATTCGAGTGATTCACCAGTACGTTTGTTTTACGAAGTGGACATGTTCACTACTTTCTCACCCAAACCCACCCTCTGACCCACCCGCATCCTTATCCTCGGGTTTTCCTAACTGGTATTAGTAGTTGTACGCCCTTCCGTTCCTTTAAGCTTGTCAATGATCATCTAAAATGAGGGCTAGGTCGAACGAAGTGCGACAGTGGTAGGAGTATTAGCTGCTATTCACGCGGTCGGGTATAAGTGTGATTCCTAACTCTCCCTCACCCAAACATATTTGTCCGGCATTTCCGTGACAGTTAACCTCAAACCAGCTGAAACTCTGTGAATAACTTGAAACTTATCAGTGGCCACCTTCCACTGGACTGTTACTCCAATTCTGTAACGTGTGTGTGTGTCTGCCCGACCTGTCAGTCCCTGGAACGCTCCGTACAATGTGTCCAGTAGTTTAAGTACTGCCTGTTCTGGATATGAGGCCCCTGTGGTTTTACTGATGAGAATAGGGTTTGCCCGAAGTAGTGAAGATTCCAACTTTCATAATCTAACGGGTACTTCCGGTGCTCACGCGGGATGATATTGACGGGTGAACTTGATTCGTCGGATAACCCTTTTGTTGGACGACGTTTGTACTTGTGGCACTCGCCCTTGCTTTTAAACTTTGGGTTCACCATCCCAGTGATGAAATCAGTTACGGTTTGATTCAGCGAAAATATTGAATATTAATAGATGTCAATGAGCAATGCCTTACTAAGTACAGACTAGGCGTTACTAACTGAAATGGGATAGCAATTGAAAGGTGTAGCCTAAAGTATAAGACTACTTTGTAAACAATCAAATATGCTTTTTCAGACGTTCTCGCTCACATTTCTTATCAATGTCCGATGTGTTCCATTTGGAAGAGGGTGGGACAAGCAGTCAGCGGGTGCTGATATGATAGCCTGGTTCGCAATGACATTTTTATGGATTGTGATCTTATGGAATTTCATTTTCATCCTACACCTAGGTTAGCTGTCTACTAGAAAACTTCTACCGTAGAAGGAGGTACAAGTCAGGTATTTATGGGCATATCGGGTTGAAGAACGTTGGTTTGATCTTTTGTGAAATAAAATTCGTGCTATGCTGAGCAGCACTGTTTTAACTTTGTTGGCTACGAATCCATCGACGGAGCTGAAGCAAAACCCGGAAACTCACCAATAGAAATCAAGCGTACCAGTATCCGCCTGTAAAAACCTGAGTATGTTCAGGGAAATTTTGGTTTGTGAGTGGTCACTCTTCCCCTAACGCTCCTATATGATAAAGCCTCTGTTTAGGAAGCCCTACTAACTGCTTTTACGTGGCAGGGTGTTATTCCACCAAAATGAACCAACGGCATTTCACCTGGGAGAGTTGACTACAACTCTTGATTCCAGACAATTAAAGCGGAGGCGTACACACGACATTAGCACCTTCCCGGTTCCGGCAGTGATCGCCAGCTTGATCGGGCATCGAGCTGTTTTGGTTACGTTGGTTCTTTCACACGTCCAAAGGTCGCATGATTCGATTAACTAGTCACCACTTCCTAATAAAATGCGGTTTTCATACAATATCGGTACCCTGCGGGTCACACACTACTTGACGAGAGATCCGGATTATAATTCTCTAACACTAATTTATCTTCATTGACCTGGGCAACCTGGCCGTATTCCGCCCACACGTTAGTCATGCACCAAGTCCTCTATCATAAAGATTTTTGTACCGTGATTTGTTCGGATCACAGTCTGAACCCAGACAAGTGTGAAATATATATCTAATTTTAAAATGCGTTTATTTCATTAGCAGTTTCTGCACTTATCATACCTCAGGTCACAGTTCCGTAGAATGCGACCTTCACTTGAACTGGAAGATCTTACGGCTGTTCATGAATGCAGTCGCTGGAACCGTCCTGGAGTGACCTGTCAGTATCGTGTGGGACGTGCAAACCTGAACGTTTCGGGGTTAAGCTGTCATTAACTTTGCGAGTATGCATGGTCGACGATTCGTGATAGGGGGAAAACAGCCGTAGAGCACGTCTAGGCTTTTTCAGTGGAACGCCGTGTCATACCGAGGATCAACATAAGTTTAATTGCTGATTCACTATGAAGCATAAGGTTATATTTTGAGACCTCATGATCTCAAAAAATATGTTCCACACGATAAGGGTATCGATTCCCATCTGAAAGGCTTGCGGTTCAAGTCCGGACGGGAACATAACAATAGAACAAATCCATGCGAGTTTCAATCAAGGACAACCATTATCTAATACAAAAAATTCAGTCACATCTGCAATGATTTAAAATGTGTGGAATCAGTGAGCTCCTAGGTACCCACACAAAATGCATAGGCCAGTGAATGCACATGACTCGTACAAGAAAAATTTTTATGTAATGTGCTATCTGGAAAATAAGGCACATCAGTGCTTTGATGAATGATCAGGAAAAATTACGCTTAGTACATTATCGGATTATCTGAAGGTTTTGCTTACATCAACCCACACTTGACATTCGGAGTAGACGCAGAAGGCAGAGAATCATCATATGAATAAAATAGTTTTTCTCCCTCAGCAATGGATTTTACTCAAATCATCTTTAGAGGCTGATTCCGATTAAGAAGCCTCACTCGTTCCCGCATTAATTCCGCAGCTCTTTGAACTTGATTGAAGGTACGGTGTTCGATCCTCAATGAGGTCAATGAATGTTGACGTTACCTAGCCAGGTTGAAATAGTTTTGCAGTGCTTTTTCAGTTTTTTAAAAATTTTGTTTCCTATTATACGTAGACGCCGAAAATCATTTTAAAACATCAAACTGTGTCAGCGGGAGTTTCTGTTTGAACTAATTGGATGGAGGCTGGAATTAAGTAGATACACTTCTGACTTCTTTCTAGCAATCGTTCTTGGAACCAGTGATCAGCTTCTGTGTGATTGCTGTGATCGATTTAGAATGGTTTCTTTTGTGTTTCGTGTCGCTTGTACCCAAGTTCTGTAATCCTTAATTATTCACAATGTAACAAAATAGTGAACGAATCAATGAATATTAGTCTTTTTACTCTGCTAATATTATCATCAATTAAATCTGCCTGGTCAGCGTGCTTTTTCATTTAGTGGTACTTGGTGATATCTCCATACCTCACAAATCTTCAATCAGCTACATGGGTGTGTA